ACACGCTATGTAAAACCAGATTATGCTGTATTTTAGAGCTTTTCTGGAGGTTTTCCCGGAATAATGGGGCTTACGCAGAGGGTCCAGGTCGTCCGGTCTGGTGACGAACTTCAGAGTTGTGTCTCTGGGGTCGTATCTTTTCTCGTTCGAGCTCATTTTGGATCATCCGTTCTCCGCTGCCTCTGCAGGAAAATGAAATCCGGATTCTGCTGCTGCTGCTGGTCATAGAGGGGAGTTTCTTTTTTTTCTGTGGTTTGTTTTGGCTTTCGGTTTCTTCATCATACGACAGTAACGTGTCAGATATATTTTTTTCTTGTCATTTCATACTGACACACGTCGATGTGGATTATTATAGCTTCATATGTAGGAAACATTAAGTTAGTAGATGTTCTTTAATGTCTCATTATGCAGTTTAATGTCGATTTATTGAAATAACCACAAACAGTCGTTTGTAAACACTACGGTCACGTGACCACTGCTGGAAAACCCCGGTTATTTCCACGAATTATTCAACATGTGAGCTCCCATAAAAAAAAAAAAACATGTAAAAAACAAACAAAATCCTGATATTTATTCACTTTTTTTTAATTCCATCTGTATTTGTTGAATGATGGAAAACAACAACTCCTAATTTATAGATAAAAAGTTTTCATAAGTACATCCAATAAAACACTAAACAAACAAAAAAGGGCTTTTTTTCTGCAAAACACAGCAATAGTGAGCAGAAGGATTAATGATACACAAAAAAACGATCATTTGAAAAACGATCTTAATCATAATAATCCTTTTGTTTTATGTGTTATTCTTTATTAGTGAAAGTGAAAGCATGCAGTGTGTTCTCTGACGTCACAACCCCTCCAACCCATCACAAACAGCCTTCAGCTCGAGCTTTAGAGATCAGAAACACACAGAAAGAGCAGCAAGCAGGGCAACGAGACCAGAAAAATGGGGAAGATCTTCCAGCTGGAGGTGTACGGGCTCCGGGGGGAGAAGATGCTCGTCGACCTGTGCAACACCGAGGAGCAGATGCAGAAAATGACGGTGCTCCAGCTCAAGGAGAAAATCATCCAGAGGCTTCCGGGTGACACAGGTGGGTCACAACAAACACAACAGGGATCCACACTTAACCCTAAAATGCCATATGTGTCATATTTGATACGTACTGTTTCTGAAATGTTTTGCGTCTGACACCTTTTGCATAATTTAATGGTAAAAATTTTGCTCAAAATCCTACTGTACACAATCAGATACACCTGATAACAGGGGGCAGTAGACTACACAAAAAATAATCTTGACTTATCGCATAGTAATAAATTATTAATGTCAAAAATGCATTTCTGTTTTTTCTTTTTACATATTTTGCTAGAAAAAGACCAAATAAAGACTTCAAACAACAACAAAAAAAGTAATTTTCTGCTTTGTTTTATGCTTGGATCAGGCTTTAAAGGGTTAAAAGCAAAATAGTAGTGGTAGTACTAGAAACTTTCTGTGTCTGGAGCAAAAAAATCAAACAGGATAATCTTACATATTGTTTCTGAACTGGAGGATTTTTTTAGACTTGCGGAGACAGAAGGAACTGGACTGATGTCAGTCAGTAAAAATGACAACAGGCCTGTTGAGGTCATTCAAAGTAAGAAAGAAAAAGGTGGAAATGTCATTTTTTTTGGATGAGCTTTAGCAGAAAGACGTGTTTTCAGAGTTGGAATTCAACTCTGTCCGTGTTCAGGTTGTGAACTCAAAGTTTAACTGCGCTGCTTTATTTAATTGTGCAATAAAATGTGTTAAGATAACAAAAACGTCCAATCAGAGAGCTTAAAGCCAACCGGGAACTGTGCCGATTAACTTTTAGGGTGAGACCTTTAATCAGTTCCTTCAGGCTCATTTAGCTTCAAGGGACGAAACCCTGAAAAGTTTACTGTAAAAGTAACTCCAAAATCTGGAGAAATATCTTTAGACGAAAATTAATATATTGTATGACTCTGCTAAACCCAAAATCTGTTCACAAACAGACAAAAATGGCCTCTTTGGTAGCAGGAAGGATCCATTCAGAGGCCGAGAAAGGAGTTTTCCCCTAAACCTGCTGGTGGATTCCATTAATAACGGAATTTTTCGTCTTTTTTGGTGGATCTGAATCGGTTTGCTTCTCATTTCCCGCACAGATAAGGACACTTTGCGGCTGATCTTCGCAGACAAGATGCTGGACGGAGACTCGAAGCTGCTGTCTGAGTTTGGGATCCAGCACATGTCGGTCATCCACATGGTGATGAGGGTTCCTGGAGGCCTGAGGCCCTGAACCTGCCACCGAAAAGACATTTAGCCTCATTTTTTCTGTCTCCGAAACTGGAATAATCCTCTGGTGCTCCAGATGCATGCAATAAATCATTTGGTTCTGTATTCCCTGCAATTGTTACACATAAAAGTTATAAAAAAGATAAGATAAACATGGAGGGTTGGGCCTAGATGGAAGTGAGCCACAAAATGAAGAGCAAAACTCATCTGAAGCATAACAGCCAATTTATAATGACTAAAAATACACTTTTAGAAGAAATATTTGACTTCAACGTGTGTTTTTTTCGATGAAATTGTCATTTTTCCTCATTAAAAAAAGAATGAAAAGTGTCTATTGTTGCAGATTTTGTTTTCAAATGCACCAAAATGATATATTTCTTAGGATTAATTATTCGTTTTATTGACTCAGTCGACATTTGATGGTGAAATAAGGAAAACAGACCTAAGGCACCTCTCAAATACAAATAGAAATGATTTAGTGACATGAATCCGGTTAGCTTTCATTTCTAACTGGTTCTATGCTTAAAGCTGGCGTTTCCGACATCCAGTGAATGCAGCATTCATAACTCGTGTGGTTTCTCAGACTCGAAAGAGAAAGCATTCGTTTAACAGCAGTAAATATTAAGATCGTGGTCGGTAAACGTCGAAAAGGAGTCGAACCGCTTTCTTCATGTTCCCAGTTCGGAGGTCAACGGGTTTTTTTCCTCCCAGTTTGTTTTTTTTTCTGCTGGTTCGGCTCACAGATTGGCGAGTGGAGGAAGATAAATGATTAAAACATTGATCGACGGCTTTTCTACAATGTCAACAGCTGCTCCAGGTTGGTATTATTTAGTTTTACATGCATTTTTACACTCTATTTAAAGGATTCCTCCATTACTTTGTAAAGTTACTTGATATGCGAGTTAGTTAAATGACTGTAAAATGCTTCTAATATTACACAAGATTATAAAAAAGTGAAAAAATATTTTTTTGTGTAACAATATGGGGCACAACAGGTGAAAAGTGTGTTTTCTGTGAGTTTATTATGGGAGACGAAAGCCTCAGATAGAATATCAAGACATTTGAATTGGGAAAAATCCTGTTTACACTAAAATCTGACCCAAAATAAAGCAGCGAAACACATTCAAATGCATTTAAAATCCAAATAAGATTTTTTTTTTTACTATAATCTCAAATCCAAAACATTAAATATTAAATTTTTAAAAATCTGGAAATAGACAACAGCAGGCATTTAAGGGTGAAAGACTCTTCTCACCTCAGAAAAGTTTACACTGTCCGTCAGTAAATCCTTAATCCAGGATTTTGTTTACATAAAAGGCTCCCAGGAGGGATTCCACGGGCTGTACAACCAGGGCGCCACCTGCTACCTGAACAGCGTCCTGCAGGTCCTGTTCATGACCAGAGACTTCAGAGAGGCCCTGCACAGGTTTGTCATTTCCGGGTCTGTGAACGCCTCACTGCTGCGGCCCTAATGTAGTGGGGGGGGGGCAGCTCCAGGCCCCTTTGTTAGGCCTTTATGGGCCTCTTTCTTGGGCCTCTTTGGGTGTCTTCGGGCTCCTTTTTTGGGCCTCTTTGGGCCTTTTTTGGACCTCTTTTTTAGGTGTTTTTAGGCCTCTTTGTGGGCCTCTTTGTGGGCCTCTTTTTGGGCCTTTTTGGGCCTCTTTTGGCTTCTTTGGGCCTCTTTTTGGGCCTCTCTGGGCCTCTTTTTTAGGCCTTTTTGGGTGTCTTTTTTGGGCCTCTTTGCATGTCTTTTGCCTCTTTTTTGGGCCTCTTTGGACATCTTTTTAGGGCCTCTTTGGGTGTCCTTTTTGGGCCTCTTTTTAGAGCCTTTTTGGGCCTCTTTTTAGGCCTTTTTGGGCCTCTTTTTGGCCCTCTTTGGGCCTATTTTGGGCCCTCTTTGGGCCTCTATTTTGGGCCTCCTTGGATCTATTTTTTGGGCCTTTGTGGGGCCTCTTTGGGCCTCTATTTTGGGCCTCTTTGGATCTATTTTTTGGGCCTCTTTTTTGGGGCCTCTTTGGATCTATTTTTTGGGCCTCTTTTTTGGGGCCTCTTTGGA